TATTAATATAGCCCTAGAATCTAAATATAGCATATTCCTAATCCCAACCCAGCAGCCGCTCGCACACACAAACAGAAGCTTGCAGTTACGTATCACCTCCCGGAGTTCTAATCTACCATGTTAGATTACTTCCATAATTTCGCTAACAGTAGCACTGTAGCAGTAGCAGACTGTAAAACCAGTTGCTTCCAGGGGTCACACTTCCCATCCGCGAAATCGGATGAAGGGGAAGCAAGCAATATTAAAAGTAAAAGCACTAATTTTTCTTTTCTTGAAAATAATAAAAGTAGCAAAGTTAGCCAGAACACGTAATATTTTAAGAGGAGCAAGAAAGGAAAGAGAATTGTTTTAGGAAGCGTTTTACAGCCCATACGACACAGTTAAGTCACATTAATATTAGTGCCGAAGATTAGAGTTAGGGGTGTTACAAGAAAGTAACAAACACAAAAAGGGGAGAATAATACATCATGTATAAGGACGATAGATGTTTCATAAGAAAGAAGGATCAAACGACAAGAGAGCACCCGCCAACCACCCAAGAAAAGAATTGTGTGATTAGTTTAGTATTTAGATCTAAGAGAGCACCCCGCCAACCACCCAAGAAAAGAATTGTGTGATTAGTTTAGTATTTAGATCTAGTTTTATTTAGAGTTATACGACACTTGCAACAACAGTAACAGTAACATACCAATATTTTTTTTAATTGAAAAAGGAGATATTAAAAAGACGATAGGTTTGATAGAACTGTGTGACAGGACAGAGAAATAAAGTAACAAAGAACTAGTCAGAAATACCAAGGGCAGCTTCTGATTCTCTTGCTCTTGCTCGCTATCAGTCATCACTATCACAGTTGCTAAAATTTCAAAACACATGCTACAACTGAACTATAGGTGGCGTCGGTAGCCTAGTCTAGAGGTTAGGCTACCAACTACCAATTACCAAACTCGTAATCGTGAGATTGCGGGTTCGGGGGTTCGAGCCTCAGCGCAGGCCGACGTTGTCGTTGGGAAAGGCACTTTACACAAATTTCCCACTCTCTCGGTTCTTTCAGAAATTTTAATGGACATTAATTAAACTCGTAGATTCCGCCTTTATTAAAAAATAACCTAAGCTTAAAGTGTGTTGATAGGGGCGTTAAAGTTAAACCCATACATCATGACTAATACATGTACCATTTCAGTTTTCAAGAAGACCACCCATCATAGTCTAGGAGAAAAGTGGTTGTCTTATTCCTAGACACGCAGCTCTCCGGGACAATGTCATTATAAAATGGGGGGGGAAAAACGCAAGTGAGAGGGGGGAGGGGGAGAGGGCAAGTGTGCAGATGGTTGTCTTGGACAGGTGGTCTTTGGTGACGTTAGCGCAGTTTCGACTGCATTGATTCTTTTCTTGACTCGGCTCGATTTTTAGGTCAATGCGATTTATTCCTGCTTTTCGGATTTCCTCAACTAGAGCTCAATTTACCAGATAAATTATAGTATTCTGATTTTTTCACTTCAACGAGTGTGTGTGTGTGTGTGTGTGTGTGTGTGTATGGGTGTGTGTGTGTGTGTGTGTGTTCTACCACCGTCAGTAGTGTAGCGGTTTGGCGTTTCGCTGTCGCATACAGGAGACGCGAGTTCAATTTTGATGGTGGGAGATAATTTTATATCGAGAATCTCGATCTGTATCCCTCTCAGTTAAGTCCGGGTTGGTCCTGCCAGGCAGACAGGGTAGGAAACCAGCCTCCTAAATTATCTAAATTGTGTCGATGGGAGCATAAAAAGACCTACGTTTTAATTTTTGAATTGTACACCCGGTATGTTCTATATTTTTAAATTATCGTACAGTAGTGCACTCAGAGCTTGTTTCATAATAGGAACAAGCACTATCAAAATGCTATTTATTACAATACAGTCGACTACGAATGAGTTAATGTTGTCGGGACAGTGAAAAATAGATAACAGATCAACTCATCCAATGTTCCAACTTAACCATTGTGAACTATAAAGAAGAAGAGGAGCTTGGGCCCGAGAAAAAGATCAACTTAACCGATGATCATCTTTCTGCTGTGACATTGTATCACTTCAGTCTTAGCCAAGGTTGAAGCCTGCCTATTAATATTAGTACAATTGTAATCTAAATTATGTTGATGGGGGAGTGAAAACATCTACATACATTTTTTTTTTAAAATTAAAGAATGCAGTGCCCTTTGCCTTACAAGCAAATGCAAAACTTAACGGCATATGCAGAGGACTGACGAAAATATTTGCTGGTTTGTCCAATAAGCCTAAATGTAATTTTAAAAAGAGATGTATTGACATCTGAGCAGCAGGTTGAAGAGGGCGCCACGGGTAGTTGAGCGGTAGGTACTTCTTTCAGTTATTATAGTCTGAGTTTTATGGCACTTGCAACACAATTAGATCACAATATTAGTGCCGAAGATTGGATATGTTAGAAGAGAGTAACAGCTGGGAGGGACACAAAGTCCCAGCAGAAAGATGGAGGTACTTATTAAAAGTTCTCCCTACACGGAAATTGAACTCAAGTCTCCTGCTTATGATGGCAAGGCATCTAACCACTACACCAAAGAGGCCAGTCCACAGGTTTCAATAGATCTTCTAACATCACAAAGACATTCATATATAAGACTTGAGAAAACAAGCACAAGTAAGGCAATCTGTTCTCCCACTTATAATACTTTTTATTTTTATACAATCTATTATGTATTCTCTCACAGACATAAGGCACAAAAGCATCATACCACCATTTGCAGTAAGCGAAATTCATTTCCTTCTCCTGCTATTCTCATCATCACCTAATCCTTTCAATATTGATGTAATTCTTAACTCAACAACAAGAGAAAAAAACATTATGAACAGAAATCTCGCTATTCTCACAATGGTAACTCCACTCAGATGTCTGGTACAAGGTTTCAGGGACCACTCAAATTAGGCTTCTTGTATCAAGGAAATTTGATCAGTTAGAAGTTCCATAAACTTTACTGAGACAAGTTAGATAGAAAAACGTTAACTTTTTCTTTAAAACGTTTTGCTTTAATCTTTCTATAGAGGGAAATTTGATAGGTAAGAATTTCATTCAAACTTACAACATAATTCTTCATCACTGAAACTTTCAGCTAGATGGAGAATCATCTCTTTTACGCTTCTTCAGTTTCTTCTTTTTAACTTTTAATTCATCTCCATTTGCTTCAACAGCATGGTTTGTTGACACCTCAGCTTCATCTACCTTTTGCCCACACCGATCCTCCAAAAGAATTTCTTTAGACTCTTTCTTTTTCTTCTTTTTTTTCCTTTTCTTTTCACTTTCCAAAGATGATTGTTCAGCGTCACTTTTAGGGTCACATGGAACAGAGTTTGCATCCTTTTCACATCGAGTCCCCTTGGAGAAAGGTTTGACTTTTTCTCGTTTCTCAGAGTGAGCACTTTCACCTTCCCTCAGGTCATTATTACCAGCTTCATTCAATTCTTCATTTTCTTCTTTCCTTTTCTTCTTCTTCTTCTTTCTCTTTTCGCTTTTCTCACAAGATGCATCTTCTTCCTTCTCAATTGAGTTACTTAGGACAACTTCATTCTCCTCATTAAATTCTTCCTCTTTCCTTTCTTTCTTTCGTTTTTTCTTTTTCGACTTTGCTTTATTTATGTCTTCTAGCTCAGAATTTTTGGCTGCACTCGTGTCTTCAATGTTCTGATCCCCAGACACAAGAGACTTGGACTGTTCAACATCCACAGCAACCTCGAACACACCAATACCTTCATTTTTCTTCCTCTTTTTTCCCTGTGGTGAGTTGTTTTCACTTGAGCTTTCAACCAGATCACTACCAGTTGAACTGTTCATTGAACGGTCAGTGTGCTTCCTCTTTCTCTTACCAGAGCTCTCATCAACTGAGTCACTATTAGGAACGTTTTCCCTCTCAGAACTGCCACTGACACAATGTTTCTCATCTCCCAAGCTGTTGGCGTCTCCTGAGTTTGAATTCTGATCCTCAGCCTCTGGGTTTTGTTTCCGTTTTACTCGTTGGAAACAGGCAACAAAAAAACCTTGCGTTAAATCAGTCTCCGGTTTCAGTCGCAGAAAACACGGGGAGTCCGGGAACCCCACCAAGCCTCTGCTGCCAGTCCATTGTGGAAAGACGGATTCGAATTGAAAGTACTCAGAAACATGTGCCATCACTTCTGTCACAACTTCCTCATTTTCCTCAGTGTGTACCGAACATGTCGAATAAACCACTCTTTGAACATCGGGAAATCGCAGAGCATGTTTCAATATGGAAATCTGAAAACGCTTCAATGTCTGCAGTCTCTTACGCAGAGCATCGTCTGTGTCACCATCACCAATCTGTTGCCGCATACCTGTCAGAAATATGAAAACAGAAAACGAGGACATGAAAAAATGCTTTGGGCTCACTACAATTTTTTTAGAATCTACGTACAGACTACTTCTGAGGATGACAAATATGGAGAACATTTACATGAAATAAATCATAATAGTCCTCAGAAAGAAGGGCGGTAACTCTACAGCTTCCTAAGGGAATCTCAATAAACCTCAAATATGAAATCAAGACTTTATATCATGTGTCAATACAATATCATTCGTTCCATCTGTTCTTATGATTTCTTTTCAGCTTACAATTACAAGACAAAGCCACTTCAAAATGCTATGACAGTAACACTTTAACAATATAATAAATCAATCCAGTCTAGCACGCACATATCAAAATCAACAGGACGCGGAAAACTTTTCGTTATGTACTAATTTCTCTGCAGACATGTTTTAAATACAACAAAAAAAAATTTTTTAATCCAGGACCACAAAATCTGTTCGCTATGTGCATGGTTCCCTATTTGCATATTTGCTATGCACATGATAGACTAGATTTCACTCATAAGGCATATGATAAGGTGTACATCCATATATTCAATGGTAGGCTGTATGATAGTTATAATGTAATACAGTGGAATCCTGTTATAACGAGACAGAGGGGACCGGTGCGAAATGTGAAATGTCCGTTATAGCAGGATTCTCGTAATAAGGGATCCAGTAATAAATTCAAAGGAAATAATAAAGTAGGCCTAATCTTTGAGTTTGGTGTTCTGTTTATTCTTTTTTGTATTTCCCCTGATGATGATTTTGTTCAACATGATCTGTCGGTCTTACTTGATCAAAAATCGAATCAGGTTTCTTTCTCTAGCACTAGCAATTTTGACAAATCGACGTTGGCGATCAAAAAGAAGGGGCTCTGGCTCTAGGCTAACTCACCCGCTGTGTTGTCCCCCACCCCACCACACCCTGTGGTGCTTTCCGTCTGCTTACGCACGTCACACATTCGCTCCATCCATTACATTGCTGTGACCTCTCCATCCCCGCATAGGAGAATGAGAGGTACGGTATGCCTAGATAATCTAAACTGGGCTGGCCTTTCACGCGATGCATTCTGCTTGTCTGCGAATGCCACATCCTCCCCACTCATTCGCCCCAGCCTTCATTGTTGGTTCGCGTGGGCTCTCCCATTCTTTGTTTCGCTGGATCACCCACAACTTTCTCAACTGGCGAGGTTTTATGTTTAATTGGTCTGTGTGCTGTGCACAGCAGCAGCAGTATTCCGTTATAACCGACTTGTGTGACTGTCTGATTGCGCAATAGCAGTATTTTATTTAGTAAGATAAAGAAGGAAAAAAACGGATTTTTAGAATAGTGTCTTTATAACAGACTTCTCGTTGTTTCAGGATTCGTTATAAGTGGACTCCACTGTATCATCCCAACAGACCTTAAAACATTCTGAAACATTTCCGCCTTCCCAAAGAGAAGGAGAGCCTAGCTGCCATTTTATAAGAGCTCAAACACAAACATACAGACAAGAGCGTTCCCCACCTCGGCTGGAAACCCATTCCCACCCTGATAAAGTGAAGAGAATTTGTATAAGGTGTCTTTCTCAAGGAAAGTTCCTGACCCAGACTCAAACCCATGACCGCAAAACTGCAAATATGGCTGCCTAATCACTAACCTACCGATGTCACACATAACACTGTATTAGAAATGTCTAGATAAGTGGTGCTGTAGAAAAATTCACCTGATCCACTGCAAGATGGATCCACGAGAACCATCTGTATGCCCTTAGCATCCTCCGAGCCCGGCTGAACAGTGAGAAAGTCTTGATGTATCGGGTTCACAGAGGTAGCTCCACTCCTTGCCACCATTTCTGTCAGTGTGGACAGTCTCTTCTGGTCTCTGTCTAGAGCAATCACCTGCCTAGAGATTTTATATATATATATATATATATATATATATATATATATATATATATATATATATATATATATAGATATAGATATATATATATATATATATATATATATATATAGATAGATATAGATATAGATATATAGATATATATATATAGATAGATATATATATATATAGATAGAGAGAGAGAGAGAGAGAGAGAGAGAGAGAGAGAGAGAGAGAGAGAGAGAGAGAGAGAGAGAGAGAGAGAGAGAGAGAGAGAGAGAGAGAGAGAGAGAGAGAGAGAGAGAGAGAGAGAGAAAACATATGGGAAAAGGTTAAAGATTAGATTGGAGACACTCAAAGATCGCACTACTACTAAGATCTATCCCTCGAGACAACAGCAAATACACAGAATCAAACACATGCAACCTGATATCTTGAGTGTTGAGCCTCTACAAATATGGGACTTTGTAATCGCTGAGTACCGCGGCTATGACTCTGTTCAATGAAAAGTCTTGCCCTGTTCATTACTCTGTGCGCAGGTTTAATTTGAAACTGTTTACTACCGTCATGGCTCATACTACCATATACGACCAGGGGGCTGAATTTACAACTTTTTAAAACGACTTTACGATCTTGCTGGACACCCTGGGAGAACTACGAATGAATAAAGTACAGACAGTTAAACCTGCTCTTACAGCAAACTGTCCAAGACAATCAAAAGTACAAACTACTTCCCATTTCACCCCTTGCGTTTTTCTTTTAAGGATGCTCAATACTTAAGGGACAACATTTTAAACTAAAGACAAACTGAAACAACTTTTTGTCACAGGCAGTAAGTATGAGACAAAAGATTCATGTTCAACTGTTGACACACTCAATTACATAAGCCGTTGCCATCTTTAAAATTGGATAGAAGATAGGACGTGAATCAACTGGGGTAAATAAAAAATCTCGATGAACAAGATTTTGACAAACTAACTATTAAATGTACTCAATTACATATATGAATTTATAAGCGACGTTGGGACAAAATGAAAGTTAATACTCGTGTAGCATGTAAGAACAGTCAAGTGTGTATTTTCACGAACTTTTACTCAAATGCATTTGATCTATAAGTAGCTGGAAAAAAAATTAATACAAGTTATACCAGACATAATTGACCAGGGGTTTTCCAAGTGGAAAAAAAAGTCAGACAAAATAAAATTTCTGAGGTACTTGGCAAGTCTAGAAATCTCACTACTTTTTGTGAATGAGTTAACATACTTTCAACATCATAGTACTCACCCTTTATCTCCCATGAGACTGGCCAGATGAGTGGTCTTGTTCCCTGGAGCTGCACAACAGTCCAGCACCACTGACCCCTCAGGGGCAGCCAGGACATGGGCCGGGACACAGCTGGCCTGATAAAAGAACAAAACGGCACAAATGACTTGTAATCAAATTTTTAAAAATGTTTTTTACTAAATCGAATCCTATATGGCCAGATACGAGTTAACATTCTATACAAATCATTCAATGATGAATTTGTGATAAGGTAAGGAAAAAAAGTTAAAGCTCTCTTTGTTAGTCTCCAGTCAAATATTAAAAATAGGGTAACATTTATCAATTCCACCCACTGCAAACAAAAAAGCTCTTAAGTATTATCTGTATAATTTTCAAACAAACTTATACGTACACACTAGCTACCGCCATTCGTTACCATCCACTCTTCTACAAGACAGGGTCAACAAACCTTGCTCCAGCATGCACTACATTAGCAACCTAACCAGAAACACTCCCCATAGCACTGTTCAACCCATTTTTGCCTTCCACTTGATCCCTGGCAATGAAAAGCTTGATATGAAAATACAGTCAGACCTTATTGTAACCCCCCCTCGGTTAAACCACCAGCGATGCTTACCACCAGATTTTGCCATTGTACGAAAAGAAGCGTCTATATAAACACAGTATTTACACCTTGACAACACCATCCACCAACCAACAGTCTGAGTTGTATGGTGGTCCTTATTTATTTGTTTTAGTAAAGTTTTACGGCACTCACAACTGCATAAGGTCATATGAGTGCCAAGGGGAGGACGTCAACAGAGAAGTCCAAACGGGGAATCAGGCTTACTACGCTCACCTCACCTCTCTAGCCTTGACAACACAAGTCTGCTTCAACTTTCGAGGCATCCCGGAAATAGCAGTTCACAAGAAAGTGACAAACAAACAAAAGAAGTAGAGGAAAAAATGACGATAGTAGGGATGAGGAAAGAAAAAGCAGCAGTTCCCCCTATGTTGTTCCTGCACAGTATGAGCATGACATTGATAAATCAGCCCATTTACAGTTCTATTGTGCATAAGAACATGTTAATATCCCCCCTTTGGGAATGGCCTAAAGACACTTTAGTCAGTAGAACTGCCCTGGGGAGGCTTATTTATTTAACTAATGGTTGGCTACTTGTCTCCCTCAAGAAAGACATAGCGATAGAGAGACAGACCCTCATCTCTGAACACATGCACGTACATGTATATCAACAAAATAAGAAACTTTTCAAACACAGATCACATAGCTGAATCATGTGCCTTGACGTTGGGCAGTCAGGGCGATATAATAGAGGAATCCTGTTATTCCGCCAACTTCATGCTCGTACCAAGGGTGGCAGTATAAAGAGGTTCAACTGTTTTTAAAATAAGTTCATATCACAATATTTAGCCCTTCCCCTTGATTCCTTGCTATGAAAAGCATGATTGATATGGTAATATTTGATACTAGCAGGGCCCCCTTTCGATGAAAGGAATGATCGGTGCATTAACATTAACTGAAAGCCATTGGGCTACTATATTTACACTCTACTGGAATGGAGCAATAAATATTGAGAGATGCAAAAATTTAGAAAGTCTAGATCCACGCTCTCAAAACAAAATGCGCCTCGTGAAATATCACTTCCGGCACTTCTGCTATGGAGACAGCAACGCAGATTTGTTTCGTTTTTCAGTGGAAAAATAAAAAAGGCGAAAGAAGGACGGGAACTTTCTGTCAAATATATTTTTCTAAATTCAGGAAATAAATAAATAAAAAATCGGGCTCTGTCATGGGGACCTGTCACCTATCTCTATCTTTTTGCAGGTACTTGCCATCTTTCAACTCTGTAGCTGCCGTAGTTTTACGGGAAAAGTGACACACGTGTTTCGAAGTTGCCAAATATATAATAGATGCTATAAATTGATTCTCTATTCCGCTTTCGAGGATGTAAACTCCAAAATTTTAAAGGTGTGGAATCAGTGCGCACAGCTAGAGAACAGAAATCTCACTTGTTTACAATGGCGTCTTTAAAGACGGACTTTTCCAAGATTAGATCTAAACGAAACTAATGAAAAACTGAAAATTAAACTACAGTGACTTCAGGCTCCTCAATAGAACTGTGCACATTAAATGATTCTGAACCACCATTAATTTTGTCAAGTTAGAAAGTTAAGTGTTTCAGAAATTTTAGGTGGCCAAAGTGATGAACTTTCACAAATATAATACAGTATAATCCGCTTATATCGACATGCTCTGGGAAGTGGATTTGATGTCGATATATAAAATTGTCGATAAATGAAATATAAAGTATAAAGCCAAAGAGCAAAAAGCAAGGGGAGGTCAGCGGTAAAATACAACACTACTTTTTTTAAGCTGGTTGCTTCCCTTGATTGTTACACAACTACACAGTGAAACTAACAAGAGGCATGGGAGTGGTGGTTGGAGTTACGGTACCAAATACTGAGCAACACGAGGTGCACACTACAAAACAGCGCAAACTTTGTTGTAGCATCCTTGAAAGACCTGCTTACGGCCACTTGCTGGGGAAAATGGAAAGGCGAGGCACTGACTCGCTGACCATGGCACTTGCCAGCGACACACTGAGAATGGGATGGGGAACGAGAGTGAGCGATCGGGAGTGGGGATAGGGGGGTGATGCCCAGCGCACGAGACGCTCACGTCTGTGAGCATAGCTGCCACTCAGGAATTTCAATAAAGGAGGAAATTCACGCGAAGGCGTACGCGCGCTCTCCGAATGCCAGAGTAAAACCAGTGAGATCCAGAGGCAATATACTGGAAAATCTAGCCTACGGTTTTGGAAGGGAAAACTGTCATATTTGTTAACCATAGACAACTGAATTAAAATGTATTTGAACCCCCCCCCCCCCCCCCCCTAAAAACTAAAAAAAAACAAAAAAAAAAACAAAGGGACTAAGTTGACTAACAAGCATTTGAGTCAATTTGACACAGTTTGGACTTGGTGACTAAAAATCCAGTGTTTATTGACAGCTGGTGTCTCATAAAAAGATTTCTTTCACTTTAAACTTGTACATCGATGTAGAACAGTATTGGATCAGGGAAGCAAAACCTTTGACGCTGTACTGAGCGATTTTGGCACTCCTGTGCAACTGCGGTCCCGTTTGCACTTAATAGTGCCCCTGTAGTGTGTTTCTTTTTTAGTGATCTAAACTGAATTAAAATTATAGCCTAGGCTATCTAATCTAGATCTAGAATCTAGATATCTAGAATATGTGTAGACCAAAATTATATCTAGAGATAGATTATTTGGATCTAGTTTCACTTCCACAGCCACAATAGCCGTCATGTAAACAAACGGGACCGCAATTGTAGAGGAGTGCCGCAGGCCACGATTTCTTCAGCGCACCAAATGCAGCAAAGTGCAGCAAGCGGCTAGTTCAATTTTCTAATGAACTTTTCAAATTGCACACCGGCTGCCTCTTTCTTTCTCATTCCAGCTCCTTTTATTTTTGCATTCTGCATCAATTTCTCTCAAATTTCCGCTGTTTTCAATGACAACTCGGCGTGTCAACGTCCCGATGCCCGATCGAAACTACTATGTTGTTCCACAACAATAAACAATGTGAAACTAGCGCTAGGCCTAGAAGAACGGAAGTAGAAAGCTACGGGCGGACATGCGCATGCCGCGTTTTCGTCTCTCTCCCGGTTCGGTGTTTTCCGCGTGTAAAAAAAAAGTATCGCAATTTGCGACCGAGAGCGGTCCAGCGGAGGAAGGAGGAAAGTAGCGGGAAAAGCTAGATGAAGCGGAGTTTCCGCTATTTAGCGGGAAAGTGCCAGCTATGGTGAGGCACTGTACTGTGTTGGAGACTACACTACACTGTGTAGGCCCTACATGACCTACTAAAGCCAGGTGAGTCGAACAGGCTACTAGGCGGGTATGCGGACTTAAGGAAGAACTAATGCCTTTAGTGTGGCTTTTTCCCCCATTTATGTTCGTGGGCTTCGCCAGGTACCCAGGAAGCATGTCGATAAAGCAGAAGGGGCCGAAAAAAAGTCTATAAGAGGAATTGTTATGTGAAGATATTCAAGGAAAAATTTCGTCATAATGTCGATATAAGTGGATTATACTGTATATAGAGATAAGTTATATCAGAGCATTTGGCCATTGTTTGCTTACCCTGTCCTGCTGTACAAGAACACCTGACACAGTTAAAGGATGAACGTGCAAGTCTGTATTAACAGCAAAGACCAGCACATCATGGAGAAAAGGATCCAGGCCAAACTGTCCTTCTGAGAGGGCAAGAGCAGAGTCTTTGAAGCTGAAACAGTCAAGAAAAAACATACTTTTCCTCATCATCATCATCAATGCCTTCCACCCCTGGCAGGGTATAGGCCACATACAAGCTCCTTCCATTTATCTCTGTTCTGGGCCATCCTTCCAAGCTCGTTCCAAGTGAGCTTCATCTCCCTCATGTCCCTTTCCACACATCTCCTCCATGTCTCTCTATTTTCTTTAGCTTGAGAGTCCTTGGAAACCGAAAACTGACATTTTTTTGCCCTTAATCAGTGTTTTTCAGTAAAATGCACACAGAAATGTGTTTTTAAATGGACATAAAAGGTGTTGAGCCTGAAAAAAGAAAATTTGAAAAAAGTTGCCCAACAGTCAGAAATATGCCAATTTCTTTGATTTCCTTATATTTTGACAAGCGCCTGATTTCACCACAATGCCTCACAAATGACTGTATAGCACAACATGTTGACATGTCACTAGATAGGACTTAGCAAGTGGTGACCAAAACACAAGAGAGTAGCGTTAGAATAATACAAAATATACTTCTCTTATTATTTAGAAAAGAATTGTTTGAGAAGACAAGATGTAACCTCCTCATGACATTTTCCAAGCTGACAGAAGATGAATGTTAAAAAATCATGTCATCAAAGCTGAAGTTAAGCCATCTATGCAGTTGCTTTTTAAAATGGAACACCCAAAACACCTTAACCCCTGTAAGCAATTCTAACAAATTTTCTGTCTCATAACTGCAATGGAAGATAACAGAAACAGTAAGAGTATGGGACAGAATAGGATATGGAGCCATAAAAACAGGTTCTAAATGCATTGTCAGCAAAATATCTCATTTCTGTGCATCACCTACCTATCAGTGGACAACTTCCCAATATAATCCCATCCCTCCTCTTTCAGGTCTTCAATCACTGTTTGGACAGAGCTTTTCAGAAGATTCACTCTCATATAGCGAGGTATCTCTGAAATGAAAGCAGACACAGAGTCAGTTGACACATCTTATCCATCTCATTTTTGAAATTGTGACCTTTAAAGGCAGCAGGTAGCACCCAAAAAAACATTTCCACTTTACAGATTTATGTGTAACCTCAATAAACACCCCCATCCCGCTCAAAGAAAGGTAATTGAAGGTCTATTCATTGACACTGTTGGGAAATCAAATCAATTCTTTTTTTAACAACATTACTGGTCTACTTTTGGGCAGCATAGAATACATGTTACAAATTACTGCCAGTTTCCCACTTGATGTATAAATCAAGAAGTTACTTTATACATAATAATTCAACAAACTATAGTTAACAACCAGCAATAAATTACTGAGACTTTTTATACCGACGATATATTCAATTTTTTTCAGAAATCATGCCACTCACTCTGAGCATTACTTCTGCTTCCTCTCACAGCCTCTGAAAGACTTCTTGCATTGACTTTAGACAGGACACCATCAACAGCACTTTTGATACCCTGCTTGTACTTTAGAAGCAATTTCTGAAAAGACAAAACTCACACGATTGAAACCATTTACAAAGTTTACTCGAGCCTCATTACATTCTTGAAGCATTTAGTCACTAGAATAAAACCCCTGCCAGGTCCATAATTCATTGTTCATTGTTTCAGGAAGCAACATCCTTGCATTACCGACACGTCCATTGAAGCTCCATTGCTCTCTCTCCAAAATGCCGCAGAGGGTCTTTCTACTGATTGTGCCAGTGCACATATCTGGTTTATTGTTCTTCTGTTCTTTCCTGCAAGAGTACCAGGTTTTCCGTTTCCTTTATGTACTCCCAAAACCATATATCTTCTCCACAGCAGTACTGGCCTCCGCTTCCTTATGTTGTTCCTCTTCAACCATGCGGCGGTAGAGACATTTCAGGATCTCGACCCTGTCTGGTTAAACCTGCTGTCTACTGAGATGGCCTCACCAGCCAGTCTGTTGGCATTTTCGTTTCCTTTAACGCCTGCATGGCAAGGGCAGAAAATCCATTTGAGTGATCTTATTGGCGTTGCTTCTATCAGTTGAATCCATTCTAGTCTTAATTATAAAATGTCTTAAATCAGAAGAAAAACATGAGTAACACTAAATCATATAAAAATATTACTGTTCTTGAAAGTTTCCAAATCAAAGAAAAGATGACAAACTTAAATTACAGAAAAAACTAGAGTTCTAGGCAGAAGTATCACTTTTATTTTTCACCTTAAGAGATGTAATAAGCCATTGTGAGAAGTATCCAAATTGTGTTAAATAAGTGCACATCATAATCTACGAATTGTAACAGATCTACTTTCATCCGATCTCCATATGAGACACATGAAACATCTGATCAAAAATACACAGATATTGAATTTGATGGTATCACTAATAATATAAAACAGTGTTTTATCATAGCACAAACTCAGGACCGTAAGAGAAGTGAGCTTTGTAAAAAGTAAACATTTTAGCGTTTTCAAAGTGCCCCTTATCCTTGTCATTTTTTTCTCTAGTGCAGAGTATATTCTGAAAAGTTTCAGAATTACACTTTGTAATCAGTCTTCTTTTATGTACTTACTTTGTTGCCAACTGATACAAAGTGCATGAATATTTATTGAAACGTAGCATAATATTTTGAAGATATGTTCTCACTTTTCAGATCAATCTTGTCTTCCTGTCTGTTCCTTTCTAATTCTTTACAGAGCTTGTGCTAAATGTGTATTGTTTTTTCATAATTTGGGTGATTTCGAGCTAAGAGAGAAGTTGGTGCTTTAGTCAAATGAACACAACCAAAACATATATATAACAATGACAGGCCAAGACATGTTCAACTCGAGAAACCAAAGACCTTGTGGACATTTTTGCTATTAGAATATGTCAGACCAAAATGTTTCGACTTTTATTCCCTTATCCTTTCATTGGAATAGGATTAGTGGTATTAAAATTAGCTCAAGTCTTTTCTTATCTTTTCATGAGTAGCTCTTTCAATTCAGACATTTTTACAAGGAGAAAGCAAAAGTTTGATAAGATTGAGAGAGTAAAGTATACTTACCCGAAGGCCAACGTTACGTCCAAACTTTCTGCCCACTAAATACTCATACAGGTATACAAGCGCTAAATCTTTATCTCCAGAAATTTCTTCATCCTCTGTGAAATCTTTTGGGCAGGAAACTAGAACTTGCTCCAGAAGCTCTTGGTATTTCACACATTCGTTCACCATGGCAAACAACTGACGTGAATTCTGAACAGAAAAAAGCATGGAAGAAATTGATATAAAATTCAATACACAGATTCACAAAGATGGGAAGTGCAACCATATAAAAAAAAGACCAGCAACAGACAAAAGAACTGATTTTCTTACGCATGTTAATGTAGTAGTAATACCTCAAGACATTCAGGGTAGTAAGCAAAACCTAATTTTGCATTATATATACTGCAGATCTAGTTGTGATTTTGCAAGAGGTATTCACACATGATGACAAAAAAAAGATAAATAAAAAAACAGCCAAATCCCATTATGTCCCAAACTTTGGGACTAGCATAAAGTTGGTAGTATATGGGGCTGAAAGTACAACAGAGTTTTAATCCCATTCTCTGTTAAATAGCACCCACGGCCCAACGTCAAGAGAATGATTCTGTTCCGTGCTATTTACCAATCGGCACAAGTTTTAGCGATCGTATAATTGTGCAGCAATCTGAAGATTGTGTTAATATTTTATATTTTTAATAATTTATTTTTAGAACCCACTTAATTCGTTATTCTTTTACTCACATCAAAGAACATTCACATATATTTTCAAAAGTGTAAAAATATGAAAACTAAAATTAACAAATGAAACTGAAGAGCTCACAAGAATGATACTTTTTTTTAGTAAGGTGTGACTTTATGCACCCGCATAATTTAGCAAAATTTGATCATTTTTTGCATAATTTCTGATTATTTACCTGTATCATTCTTAGTTAAAATTAACAGAATCGCATAATTTCACATTTTTGGGCTCAGTTTGCATAATTTCAGAATTTCTCTTGCATAAAACAACGGGGACAGTTTTACGGGACTTGCAACACAATAAGGTCATATAAGTGCCAGTGCCGAAAAATATATTACGTGTTACAAGAGAGTAACATACACAAGAAAGAAGGAGGGGAGATAAGGACGACAGATGCTTGAGAGGAAAGAAGGAACAAACCACACCAGAGCACCCATCAACCACCCACCCATAAGAATGATACAAGGCCAGGTATCAAACTCAAAGTTCACAAAATACGTTTAATTTATTTTATATTTTTCAAATAATTTTTTAAAAATTCACTTCCATCTTTATTCTTTTACTCACATCAACGAACATGTATTTAAAATTTTCAAAAGTGTAAAAATAATATGAAAATTAAAATTAACGTATGAAACTGAAGAGCTCACAAGAATGAGATACAATGCCAGGTATCAAACTCAAAGTTCACAAAGTACATTTAATTTATTTTATATTTTTTATATAATTTTTTAAAATTTCATTCACTTCCATCTGTATTCTTTTACTATCAAGGAACATTAACATAATCTATACTGTCAAAAGTGTAAAAATATGAAAATTAAAAATAAAATTAACATATGAAACTGAAACTGAAGAGCTCACAAGAATGATACAATTACGATTGTTAAAACGCGCAGCGCAATCTTGATCGGTAAATAGCGCAGAACAATTCTGTCATGACTAAATGAAGGACATTGTACTGAATGAGTTATTTCCCTTTTTCAAAAATGATTGAATGGCATGGCCTCAAGTCTTTCTGCGTGTATGTGGTGATCGCTAGTTCACAAAGTCATGCGTAGAGAAGAAATAGGAAGATTATCAATGCGCAACTGATGATTAGGTGCTGTTCATCATGTGAAGTGAATATCGCTCGAGTCGGTAACGAGGAAAGGTCACTGGCAGTGTTGTGGGCGGGCAAATTCACATTAGTTAAGTAATGATCGGACAACTCAGTATATATTTATGTAGTCCTTTTAATGCGCTGACGAAACTTGGCTGTAAATGAGGCTAGCAGTATATAATAAGGGAAGGGTATAAAACGGAACTTGATTGTAGGATATATCATTATACTTTTTTTGTTGACTACACAAACTTACATACATTATAAGACTTTCTGATTAGGTCTATGATAAAAATCAAAGTGTGCATAATTTTGTAAGCCTAATTTTTTTAAGGCCGACTACACAAACCTATTATATTATAAGACTTCATGGTTAGATGTATGATAAAACCATGTAAATGACACTGTTAACACAGATGTCTGTATATTACTTGGATAGATTTTAACTCTTTCCAGACGTTTCGCTGATTATATCGGCGCAAGTCCACACCCTCTGTGGACGTATCGCCGATATATCTGCAATGATGGGGTGTTTCAGTTTTGTCATTTACAAGTAAGTACTTGTTATAGTTACTGCTATTGAAAACTTGGAAAGAATTTAGGAAACAAAAACATCTCGTAGTGTATATATTATAAAATATATAAGGTAGGGAAATTTCTGCCATGAATGTCTAGCTAGCTGCAATGTGGGACAGGAGGGTAATTTTTTTTTACTGGGAGGGGGGTGTATGGTGGGGTGTCTAAGTAGCAGGCAATGGAAGAAGTCGCTCCGCCGGTCCGTCTGCCCACTTGAATGCATGGAGTCCCTCCGCCCGCCCGTTCGCTAAACAACCTGTTGAGTCTGCGTCCGATGTGTAGCGAGAAGCAAGCCAATCTTCACAAGCGGACGGCTTGTTATCCGCCCGCTCGTTTACGAGTAGTACTAGCGAGTTCATTACTCGCTGATGCTGATTTAACAGGCCTGACCTTAAACTCTAATGTCTAGACCCAGAATTATCACATTCAAAGGAAGTGGTTATTCTCACCCCGGGTGAGAATAACCTATGTCTCGCTATTCTCACCCCCTCCCTAATTTTACCGGAAATGACCCAAGAGATCAGGGCTGAGGCTCCACAAGATCGTGTTTGTGTCCAAATAGTCATTCAGGGTTGTCAGATTGGAGCCAAATCCTAAAAATTTGGCTCTTTTGGATCGCGTCTGGGGCGGAGAATTTCATTGGCTCTCTGGTTCTTTTTTGGCTCCACACAACAAATGTTCAAGAAGAAGGGGACAGAAGAGGCAAAAAAAAAAGAGAAAAAAAGAATAAAAGGGAAAAAAAAAGAAAGTGAAGAAAAGAGCTTGGATTGCTTGATAAAATTATTAAACTAGTTAACACAATTTAACGCCCTCGCTCATTCGGTCTGAATAATTTACAACCCTTCTACCGTCATGCAAGAGCACAGGCAGAGAGGCCTGCAAATGTAAAGTGTGTAAACAACACATAGTCCGGCCGGCGGCCGGTCCCATATCCCGCGCAGCAGCGTCAGTAGTGAGACATAATAATAATAATTTTTTTTACTGGAGAGGCGAAAAATGTTTTTACATTAAATTATTCTATTTGTTGGTCATTAAAGATTTAATTTAGCAAAGATCTGGTTAAGATGATCATATATATTATATCTGTTCCAAAAGTCTGCATCGCAATATTCCATTCCCATATCCCGACTTTAATACTGTAAGAGCGCTCCTTCATCTCATGGGATGGAATGCTTGAAGCAGCACTATTTTACATTTCGAACTCAAGTCCGAAAAGACAAAAATTATATTTGAACTCTGAATTGAGTCCAGCATGACGACTGACGTCCATTCCGACTTCCGACCCTCGTTCCTAAATATTTCCAGCGTTATGAAAATTGTTTTGATTATAATGATAACAATCGAGATGTGAGTTTTAATACCCAGTTACTAGATCTAAATAAACTGGCCCTCCCTGCATCATCAGTATGAACAGAACAACCAAGTTGAGTTGACCTTGCCGAGGGCAAAGTTAATTATGTCGACCAATGAGAACGCATAGCGATCATGCACTCTCGGCTCGCTGTGAGAAGAGGTGTTGAGAATTTTAAGAGGCCACGGCTGTCCATTTTGAGGGATTTGATTAAAGAAAAATTAATTACAGAAACGGAGTGTCTACGTACACGGTAACCGGGCACCTAGCCTCAGTGTCTACATACATGGTAACCAGCAACCAGGCACTTTTATCAGCGTCACGTACACGGTAACCGGGCATGTAGCCTCAATATCTACGTACACGGTAACCGGCAACCGGGCATATAGTCTCAGTGTCACGTACAAGGTAACCAGGCAGTTCAGACTCCAAGCACAGACTTTGAATGAACTTTAGTAACCCCAACCGGTACTCATGTGATACGAACACACAGGTTCACTGACCGGTCACGGTGGCGAACCCGACAAGACGCTTTTGTGTATACTACTTTCTTTTTTTTCATCAAGTGACAGCAGAGGACAAATATTGATTTATTTTTATTCCGGTTTCCGTGTACGTAGACTGTTGTAGATACTGAGACCGGGTGCCCGGTTACCGTGTACATAGATACTGAGACTAGGACTTAGACTAGGTGCCCAGTTACCGTGTACGTAGACTCTCCTTCACTACATTACAGAAAAACTACACCACACAACAAAATGAAATTTTTAAACATGTGGAAAGACAAATGATGGTGGAAGTAATGATGATGCTGTAGTGGTGGTGGAAAGACCCTGAGTTGTCGGTTACTGCATACTTAGACACACTACTATTGAAGGCAATGAGAGTGCAGTCTTTTGACATTTCACACAATTACACAGTACAGTCCTAGTAGGTCGATCTAGATCTAATTCTAGTTGTAATTCTGGTTTTACTTAAAATCACCTGACGACAGAGTTATACTATAATGTAACCTGCTTACACTCTGAGTCCGAATAAACAAAACATTTTGGAAGAGGCTAGCATCATCTAAATATGAGGGCTAGATTGACCATTTCTCTCTCTCTCTCTCTTCTGGCGCTGTGGCTTCATAAACGGTCAGCTATGCCGACAGCACGCAGGAACTCAACACTCGCCCGGGGGTCCTTAAAAAGTGCTGAAAGTGGGTTACTGAAATGTCCCAGCAGACGGGTTCTAGCACGATAGCTGGCGGGACATCTCAGGAACATATGGTCCATAGTTTCGTCCTCCTCCTTGCAGGCTCGACAGGACGGATTTGGGTTGTCTGCTGGCGCAATTTTGTGGAGATATGATCTCAGCTTGGGCGATTTTCCACCAGTTCTCGATTAGACAATTTTTTTTAAAATAGGCCTACTGAATTGTAAATATAAATTTTTAGTGTGCAGTACCTAAAGTATTTGTATTTGAGACGAAACCAAGTGCCTTAATGACAGTGCATGTATTTTAAATCTCCTGTTTTCTAATGTTAATAGGGCCTAAGATAAGTACGGCTAGACTTCTTGTCTAGCCGTACAACTTAAGTACGGGTAGACAGCCAGGCTAGCCGTACTTAAGGACGGCTAGACTGTCAGGCTAGCCGTACTTAATATTGATGGCCGAAATGAAATTTTTAGTTTGCAATGCCTAAATTATTTGTATTTCAGACAAAACCAAAAGGTGCCTTACTGACTTGCATGTATTTGAACCTGAATAATTGCTAGATCTAGATCTAATGCGACCTGTGTATTTAACAGGCTTGAATAGGGCCAAACTTAGATCTAAGTACGTAAGTACGGCTAGACTCTCAGTCTAGTCACGGCTAGCCACTTCGAAACATTTTTTTCGGACCCGAGTCCATTTAAAACCCATATTCAGACTCGAGTCCGAATAGAGATTAAAAAATGAGCATGCCTTTACATTTTAAAAATATGTTAGATCTACATCTACATCACAGTCGATGTCCAGGAGGGGGAGGGGGGGTGAGAATAGGGCGCTTTTTCGGTAGTTCCCACCCCGCCATTGTAATTCGCGGGTTTTGGCCCCAAGAGTAGGGGGGTTTCAGGCCGATAAAAATAAGTTGGGGGGGTTTCAGGAGGGCATGCCTGATTTTACCATAATTTGATGTTTTGCAGTTGTTAGGTTTGATATCTTAGCTTGCCGCGCATCAAACATATAGACCTAGATGTAGATCTAGGCTCAAATAAGGGGGGTGGGAACTATCTACCGAAAAAGCACAGAGAATAGCGGGTCATGAGTTATTCTCACCAGGGGTGAGAATATAGGTGGCCACATTCAAACGAGCTCTATAGAGTTGTAATATGGTGTTACTGTTACTGAAACTTCAAAATAAGCCCCTGAAGATAAAAACCAATGTCCAGGCACCAAAATGCAATTCGGAAGGACTTTCGTAACGAGCGACCACCCCATCAAACACAATAAAGAAGAGGCCTAGACCCTAACCCTACCCTTACCCCTAACCCTACCCCAAGCCCCCAATTCTGCTCTGTCTCATAGTGGTCGCTCGTTACGGAAGTCCTCCCTGCAATTCAAAAGGAAGTGGCTATTCTCACCCGGGGTGAGAATAAAAATACGATCGACCTCTCACCCCCGGTGAGACTTGCCACCGTAGGCTATTCTCACCCGGTGTAAATCAAGACCTGTTTTTCTTAATTTCGGAATACTTTCTATCGATGTGGATGATCAAATGGATAAAGGCAAAGAAAAGATTACGTTATAACACAAAAGTAAGCTAATTTTATCGACTGCAAAGATGCTATGGCTATTTCACTTTTCGAATCGAGCCGAACTACGGGGATCGCCATTTTGTTTTGCCCGGAAGTTCTCGCAAGATCTACTCCTCCCCTCTTCTCTCTCTCTGTCTCTTTCTGAATACTCAGTGAATACTGTCTATCGGTGTGGACAATCAAATTGACCAAAACAAAGTTTAAAAATGATGTTAAAGCACAAAAGTAAATAAATTTGGTCGTCTACAAAAGATGCTACGGCTGTTTAACTTTACGAATCGAGCCGAACTACGCGGGTCGCCATTTTGTTTTACCCGGAAGTTCTCGCGCTACTCCTCTCTCTCTCTCTCTTTCTCTCTCTCTCTCCACAGCCCACAGACAATTTAATTGTACGCTTTTAGTAGGCTAACACTAACAGTAATAATGGAACATTTGACTTGTTCATGGCACAGAATTCTACAATTTTTCTGTTATCACAGTGTAGAATTCTGTGGTTTAGGGTGAAGGCCGTCGTTATTCGGACTCGGGTCCGGAAAAAAGGAAGTGTCTTCGTTCTATAGATCTAACGTTCAGGGCTTCCCATTTTCCGCCATTTTTTAGTTTCCCCCACACCTTTTCTGCCGATCCGATGCCCGCCTTCTCATTGATACGCCCCCCCCCCACCCCCCCCCATGTTTTCCACTTTCTTTGTTATAGAAAAAGGTAAAATTGAAGATTAGCAGACCACCTGGCACCTGCATATTATGAGCTGTGTAAAAAAAAAAGACCGATTCGTTCAATTACACAAGCCTGTGTCATCTCGATTGTTTACCAAGAAAAAGTTGTGTTGCTGTGTGGAGCTGAGCATACGGCAACTTTTGATTCCATAGACCAGCGCACAATTTATTGCGTAGATCTACGTCAAGACTAGCTTATTATTGTAATAATGATCAGTTGCCGGGGGAAAAAAGACTGACGCGTATGCGACGTTCAACGCCCGGACCGATAGTGCCCCCCCTCCCCGACACGCACACAGCCACACGTGTGCAGGCCGCCATCCGACCCCGACACACGCTAACGAGCCATCTCTAATTGCTTCTGATGACCTCTTGACAAATAAACAATTATTAAAAGCGCTATAACTTTTCAGGCCGGCCTCAAATTCATAAGATAAAAACTCGACTCCTGCTCAAAACGCCATTTTGCCAAAAGCGATCCCGGTCTCTACCCAGCCTGAGGCGAGTCACGACTGAGGCAGGACAGGAAGCCGGAGTCACAAGTCACAGGAAGTCGGAAGTGATGTCATGCTGGACAAGAATCAGAGTCCGAATAACATTTTTTCATAGGCTGCTCTTAATATTGGCCCACATGGGCAAATAAGCTGGGGCTTATTGGCCCACATGGGCCATTTAATGCGTTGTTTTTTCAATGTATTTCATACGTGGTGTTGTCGAAACTTGTTCTCTTTTATTTTTTCTTACTTTATCCCTTCTTGTTAATGTTTTCCTGAGGCATTCCGTCTCGAACACATTTCTACAGATTTCATTGTTTGTCAGCGTGTTCCTGCACTTCAGTGTTATTGTTATAGCAGTAGAGTAGACTTTGATCATCTGCGAACAGTATTTCATTTAGAATTTAGGTTCTCCGGATGTGGGCTTGCTTCTTTCGTGAAACAATATATTACGGTACGGTAAAATTGAGTTATTTCTTTGTGTACTCTATCATCTATGTATATCTATATTGTGTTGGATAACAAGATGAAGATGTGTAGCGTCTTAGACTCTATTCTATTGTTCATCTTTTTATTTTTAGCATTAGTATTAAATTGGAAAACTATACATTCTCAATTTAAAATATACGACTGACAGACTTTGTGGATTTGGGGGGGAGGGGGAGGAGGAGACCAAATACAGGGTGGATAACTCGCAATTTTGTGGGCAAATAAGAAATGTTCTAGGGGAAATCATATGCCCCTGTGGGCCAATTAGCACTCCGTTTTTCATATTCGGACTCGAGTCCGAATAGTCACTTCGTAAGGTGAACGTTCCACGCAAAATTGGTTGGCCTAGATCTAGGCTATACGGTGAACGCGCACCGGGAGAGAATAGCCAAAAGACTCGCCTGCACTATTCTCACCCGGGGTGAGAATAGACTATAGGGAGTATAGAAATCTAGAGGTGGCCATTCAAAAACTCACCTGGTAATTCGAGGCATATATCAAGGTCTTTAGGGATGCCTTTTTACATTTTGCTTGATGTAGTATTTGGGACACCTCTGAGTAAAGTCTTGAACTCATGATGGAAGTATTTTTGTCTTGTTAAAGCAATTCAATTCTATCAATCTGTCATAATTCCGGTCGCACAACTGCCACAACTGACACAGAACTTAGACCTTCCTTAGAGACGAGTTGAGAAAGAAGATCGATCGAAAGTTGAAGTTCAAGAGATCATCATAGAATTAAAGGGAAAAAATTCCTAGAAATATTACACTCCTGTAAACATTTTGGAGCCACAAAAAAGAAAACAAACGAAACGATCAATCCCGCTCGTCTCTAGGCCTAGATCTAGATATCCAGTCTAAAAGTAGTGAGGGTAAAAACAAGGCAATGTGAGTATGAGGGCGGCCATTTTACCAAGGGAGATTACTCTTAGAATGTGAAATTGTAAAAGCTTGTTGTGGCTGCAGGATGTAGGCTAGCAATAGAAAAATGTGCAACCTTCGCCAGCAAAATAAATCATAAATTAATATGGGACATTATGTCTGCTTGCAGTAACTTACAGAAATAACCTTATTTAGCAACGTATTTTCACTTAATTTTCCTTTTTATTAGTATACCAATCCATTTTGAGTTAAGAAGGATGGGACATTTGAAGTTACGAAAACAATTCAGAAAAATATATATAAATAATTCTTTTATTCGAAATTAAATTAAGCGAAAATCTTCTAGAATCTAGAATTTTCACAGTATGGGAAATCCAAAGGGGTAATACAGCAGTAGAGGCTGCTCCTGTGGCCGGCAACGCACGCCTGGTTGAAGCCCTCTCTCGCAGCGGAACTTGGTCAACCTGCGCGGCGCGCTGACTCTATATCACTGAATTAATCATAAATCTAGAAAGTCAAGAAGGTTTTCATCTGAGGTCCTTAAGATTAGCATAAGTATTATTAGGCAATGCCTTCCACCCACCTGTTTTTCGTTTAAGTGTACCTGAACACCTCAACAGAAAGAGCGAGATACTTGATTTTAAAAAAGAAATAAATTAGTAGATTGCTTTCCATTGTGAGTGCATATGAAATGCTAGGCCTATATACAAACCTGTACCTTGGTGGGAAACGGTAGCATTGAGTCTAGGTCTCTTCATGTATCTTGTTTACCTACTATCGTAGACGCCTAAGCTTATTGGGTTCAGTCAGTCAATCGATCAGATTTATTTTATGGGTTGTTGTTTTTTTTTCACCCATTCATCATTAGGACTAATTACTGTTGTCTACCTTATATCTATAGCAGAGGCTCTATAATTATTTTAAAGTGAAATTCAGTTCCTGCGTAACAACAATGATGGATAATTTATCTGTTCAAGAAAGAGTATTAAAAACAACACCAAACCATATCAGATGATGGTTCTCCTTTCGTTTATTATCCCGATTCACTTAAAATTCCGTTGTATTTTTTTTATAACGCAATTTTTTTTCACACAAAAGTCAGCTCTAAGATTCCACATACATCTGAAGTCTGGGGGACGGAATACGCTAGCCTAGTTTCCCTCATTTTAGTTCATATACTTTATCGGAGGGGGAAAAAACCCTCATGCATATAGATCATCAACGCTCATGCCTACGATAACATCTGAGCTCATCTCAGCTCTGATAATAAATCTCGATGAGAGATAAGCCACAATTGTTTACCTCAGGCGCAATAGGGACCTTACACAATAAAAGGATCACGCCCAGGTGTGAGCTATCGACGCCTTTGATTTCTCCGAACATTGAACTTGCTCAAGGGCTAAACCACCTAAGCAAAGCATGATCATTCTGTCGGCAGGGCCACAAGACGGGATCACATCGTTCGAACTCCGTGCTTTGGTTTCTTTATCCATCTCACTCAGGTCTGCACCCAAATTACCCGGCGGTTATAGACAGACTGCATGAGCCCGTATAATAATGTTGGGGCTGCCTTTCCTTCTTCGAATTCTAATTGGTGCGTCCACGACGTACACAGTACGACCTGAATATGAGCAGTGATGGCAGTTAGAGATGAAGGAAAGCAATTTATATATACAAATGCTTGACAGGTTAAGGGGAGGACCATTGAGTGAGAGAACGGTTTATTGTTGTTAATTATTATTATTATTACAGGGTTAAGGACAGGCGCGGTTCGTTCACTGGGCAAGACCGGCGGCGCCGATCAGTTTTTGTCGGCTGTACAGTGAACAAGAGATTGATTGCTGACGATAATTGTTATTTAGTTTCAAGTACGTAAATACACATTAATATCTAATCAACGTTCAGAAAACACTCAGCCGATTTGAAGGCGCTCTGAGAAACAATAGTGGTTCTTTGGTGTGTTGTCGCACTACAAAGACCTTTTCCATTATTTTTTGTTTATCACACCGGCTCGTATGTTAAATAGCCCATCCACGGCTTACTAGGTAATTTTAGCAAGCCCTGTGCCCATCACAATGTGAAATTTATCTGCACGAGGCCGCGAGGCGCGAGACCTTTCCGAACAGCGCCCGCGCGGCGGAGACGTCAGCCTCCGGGCGAATTCACTTTTGCCCAGAGAACCAAAGAGACGGCTTCAAATTGCCAATTGGCCTCTTTGTTACTTACAAAGGAAGGACACGCCTGCAGTACAAATACATATTATATT